CCGCAGACACATTCTGACAGCACTTCAGACAGCAGCTTTGTGCCCCGCCAGCTGCTTGTTCCATGCCTACCATGGTGTTTTTGTACAGACAGCACTTCAGACAGCATTATGCTGTAGTCGGCAATCTTCCGTTTTGGTATAGAGTGGGACAGGGAGGGGGTGATGCTACTGTAGTCGAACGGTGGGACGGACGTGCAGTTCAGTTTTTGGGCACGCATACGGTGCTGCAGGGATTTTTAGGTGTACCTCTTCGGGCTCTTGGATACCTTTTTCTCGTTGTATGTGTGCGTGTTCTTTAGATCCTCAGATGGCTCTAGCACTGTCGTGACCACGGGCTGAGAGTCTTTTGCTAGATTTTGGCATTTAGCAACTGACATACGGTTTAATGTGAAGACAACAACAACAACAACAACAACAGGGAGATGTTTGAGGCATGGAATAGAGAAGAGAGGGCGGTAGCTGTACTGGGGCATAGGAGGTGGGTCGAAAAGGCGGGAAGGGACATCGTTAGTATAGACAGACTGGGGAAGACATTTTTGAGCCACCTTTGGCAAAGTAGAAAGGAACGATTGACCATCGGTGATCGGTCCTGTGGGAGCAATGCTCCGTCCTCTCGAGGACGCGTGGTCAATGGTCTAACCGCTAAGGCATGCAAAACATAAGGGTACGCCCCCCCCACAAGTGTCATGCCAAGGTGAATATGTTTGTGCAGGCCGACTTGATCCAAACTCTGCGAGGTCTATGGTTTGACGACTACGGCTTGTGTCGACATGAAAACATCCCCTCTTCCCCCGATGACACACTCGGTGGTCGATTTGGTAGCGGCCAAGATGCTAACGCCGAGGTGTGCGGGTGTTGTTCCTGTCCATGTATGTTAGTGAATCCGTTGATGCAACAAGCAGGCGTCTTTCTCGAACTTCACACCCAGCGCGATGACTGCATGCAATGGGCGTGCAGGAAGACGAGGTCGTTCGGAGAGAATGTGACAACAGGGTTGATTGTTGTGTGCCTTTGGAGGTATCCCGGAGTGTGGGTGGATGAGAAAGTGCCCAACACACCCCTTCGGCCAAGTTCTGGACTACCTTAATGTGCCTTGATATCATCGCCTCGACCCCCCAACAGAGCACCCAACTTTGCGTTCAAGCCAACGCAGGCCTGAAGCTAATTTATTTAACAATTAATTGTCCTTCCCTGAACCCACCTTTCTGTCCCCTCCCAGAAACGCCTCTCGCAAGGAGCTAGTTGCAGCGGCGGAGGAGATTCTCTCGGCTCAGCCACTGATCACGTCCGTCGACTACCTATCGGTCGGCTCCCCGGTCACGATGGAGGAGTTGGAGGAGATAGACCAGGCGGGAGCGGTCGTTTCTGTCGCAGTTCGGCTTGGGTCCGTCAGGCTGATCGACAACGTGGTGCTTCCCCCGCTCGCAAGATGAAAGTAGTGACGGTCGCCGTTTGTGTTTTTTCGTGTGCATCTTTTTGTATTTTGGGTAGGTGTACGGCCGGCGATCGATGTGCAGGTGCCGTTTACAGGACCTCGCCAGCAGCGCGAGTTGAGGTGTTGCAGCTGAGTGTTAGGCCACTTGTTACGGTGTCTCTTTTTGGGCTGTCCCTTTTCTCAAAAAGGGACAACTGACCAAAAACCACTTGTTACGTGGTCTTTTTTTGCGTTTTTGTCTCTCCCGAAAAGGGACAGCGAAAAAAGATCACCCCATCCTGTCCCTTTTTGGGCAACTTTGTCCCTTTTTGAGAAAAGGGACAGCGTAACGAGTGGCCTTAGTTGTCGGCGTCGAAGTCGTCGTTCGTTGTTGGATGTTTTATTTGTGTGAACGAATCGAGAAATCGTCGTGATCACACCACCACCCCAGTCGCCGACAACGGTTTAGCAGCAGCAGCAAGCGTGGAATTCCCGTTGATTTTCAGAGGGAAAAATGATGGTAGGTGGAGGTGTCCGGGAGAGGAGCCGAGAATACTCGAGGAAGGGGGTGGTGTGGACGACTTTTGGGGCGCAAGAAGCCAGCGAGAAAACGATGGCAAGTCCTTGAAACAACGAGTTTGCTGCCACTGATCGAAAAAGTAGAAAAGGCTTCTTCGGTGTCCTTCACAGGGACACACGCGGTGCAGCATGACGGCAGATTGGACAGCGAAAGGTTCTCTCGATTGTAACGAAGTAAAAGAGCGCTCAGCTTTTGCTGGAAGAACTGTNAAATAGTCGGGGGGCTCGCCGCAGCGGATACCAAATTTGCACTTTTGGGGGAAAGACGGCGAGAGGGACTACGTTGGGAGCAAATCCCCGCATGTTGGTGTGCCAGTCCTTACCGGACGAAGGGATGGTGCTAAGATGCACATAGAAGTCCTTCCAGCCGGGTTGGGTCGTTCTTTTCGAATAATTACAACTGTTCGTAACGACGCCCGACCAAGATTACCAGAAGAGTTCTGCTCCAACACACAAGAGTAAGCGTGACCTAGTGCCGCGCTTCCAAATTGGAACAATCTGCACTGGCCAGAAAGCCCCCCTGCTCCCTCCCTTCCACCTCTTCCCCCGCATCCATTGTCCCACGTGTGTTATTTTACGTTAATCGTTAAAAAAAAAACACATTTGCACCGCTGTAAAGCTAACCGAAAATTCGCCCAACTCACAGGCACACTTGTGTGAAAATACAGCATTTAGTACACTTGTCTGTACCTCTCCTTCAAGATACAGATTTATTTGTTGTAAACTGTTGGAGAGACGAACCGAAATGAAGAAAGCGAAACCACGCAGTTGGGAACAGCACGCCTTGAATACATCGTCGTGTGTCAACTACGAGGTGATGTCTCGCAGGCTGGAAAAGTGCGGGTACAGTACCAGCACCTAGCAAGAAAGGCGGGTGGGGGGCAACCAAGAACAGGCGCGAAACACGACCGCGGACAATTCTCGGCCCGCTAGTTCCAACAAACTACTGCACAGGAAAGAAAACAGAGGAGGGGAAGCCATAGGACCACTCCCAAGAAGACATGCTCACAAAAATGGAACACAAAAATTGCACACGAAGCACGCGCGCGCGCCCGCGAGCACGAAAGACGGACGGCACACCCGAGGTTTAAGTAAAAACACCAGCAAAATTTTCACCCTCTCGCCCCCGTCCTCCCCGCTACCGGTGACCTCATAAAGAGGTACATTCACATGCACGCGTCACGCCGAGACACACACACACACAAAAAAGACGATAACAACTTTGTGCGGGGTCAGCGGTGATTTGGGTCTGTGACAGCAGTAGTAGCAAAGGTGGCCGTCCTCGCGGTGGCCGGCGGTTGTGACGGAAAATGCGGGGTCTCCGCGGGCGGTGGCGCGAGCGGAGTTTTTCTGCTCAAGCGCTTGATGAGCTCGTAGACGCTGACGATGAGGACGGACGCCGGGGCCACCGCCAGTATCCGCGGCCCGAGCCCCTTCATCAGCCCCCTCGGCCCGCTCTCCGCCATCAAAATTCGGTACTCCGACCTAGCGTTGTTTATTGTTGTTGTTTCGTGTCGTTAGGCATAGAGGAACAAAGGCACAGAGGCACAAAACACAGAGGCAGAGGGCAGAAAAACGTGTTCAGTCAAGCGGGGAGTGGGGGGCGCGGGTGTCCTTGACATCATATATGAGTGTACGGAGGTGGTCAGCGCCAACGTCTAGATCCAAACATGTTGCAAGGAAGGTAGCAAAAAATACGATGTGTCTCGCCGAAACCATGCTCCTCATTCAAGGTTGCGACGTACCCGCTAGCGTTGGGTGGTTTTGCGCGAAACACTGCTCACAAATCACTTCGCGCGCTCGAGATACCCACACCTCTTGTAACCACAAACCAGCCAACAACAACAACGACGACAACAACAACAGCAGCAGCGGCAGCAGCAGCAGCAAAACTTAGGCTACCGTATGTACAACACTCACACTATCGTTCGATCGTCGCCGCGGCGCCCCTCCACCTGGAGCCTCGTCCTCAGCACGTCCAGGGGGTTGGTCAACAGCACCGTCGTCATCCCCGTGCAGAACCCCGCCGCCGCCTGGCCCCCGACCTGCCGCTGCTGCGCCGTCAGCTTCGGGACCGGCTCGGGAAGGTTCCCCAGCGCGCGCACGAACGCCCGGCTGTACACACCGTACGCGGCCCACCAGATCTGGACAGAACCAGGGAGCGGGGGGGGGCAGGCAGAGTAGATGTCGGGGGTGTTGGGGTGGAGTGGAGGGGTACCAAGAAGAGGTCGTTCTTATGATATTCCTGTTTTTCTATACCTTGGTCGCTGGATGTACCTGTGTGTGTCTCTTATTGCTTGTTGTGCTCTCGTACCACCTATATTCCGAACGCCATTCTACACCCTTCGTTACAGAGGGGGTTCCCACTTAGTGCCGGTATGGACCCAGAAAATTCAACGGCACTATACCGGACCGGCACTATTCAAAGTATTGCCAATGACTTCGAAATTCGGTGTGTGCCCGCCGACAACACCGGCACTGTAGCGGGCATTGGCTATCGCTACCGCACTATTCAACCGGCACAACAAAGGGACTCCCTCTGTTCGCATTTTGACGTTGACACACACGGGAGGAAGGATAAACACTGCAGCTTTTTGGTTGTATTCTCCACCTCTTACATTGCTCACCGTTCATTCTTAACGCGAGGAAAGTTCAGCAAGCAGGATCGTTCCCTTATTTCGTTTCTGCTCATGAATCAAGCACCACGCGCTTTCCACGCCTAACATCGCGCTAAGTTTCACTCCAAGAGAGATTCGAACCCGCAATCTAGAGGGTCCGAAGGTTCCGAGCGTACCAACCGAAGAACCGAGGGTACCGAGAGCACAATACTTGCGGTCGCACCGAAGACTCTCTCGGAGCACGCAACCACCAGCCAACGAGACTCATCAACACAGAACATGAAAGAAACTCACCGCCGACGTCGGCGCGAACTGCAGCACAGAAATGCCGAACCCTCTGTAGAAACCCCTTAACCCGCTCTCGCCGTAGACCTGCCTCGCAACTTCCCGCGCGGTCACGCTGTGTCCGCTCCCCCCCGCCCCCGCCCCCCCCCCGCCCGCCCGTCTCCCACTATTTCGCACCGTCCCCCCGTGAGTAGAGCCACTGCCGTTGCCGGTAGCGCCGCCTTCTGCTCCTGCCGACGCCCCGCCGGCGCTAGCAGCGCGCTTTGGAGTATCGACCATCATCCTCTAGAAAGAAAAGAGACCCCGAAGAGGTTGGGCCAGGGGGGGGGGGCTCATGGTTTGCATGCCGAGGTTGTCAAGACCTTTGACTACCCGTCCTCGAGAGGACGGAGCATTGTTCCTTCATAGTTTGCCAGAGCTGGCTAACAAAAATGTTTTTCCGACGTGTACCCTATCTATACCGCAGAGGTTGGGGAGGGGGGGGGGGGG